TTGGCTTTATGACAGAACATAAGAATCACTTTACGCCCGAGATTTGATGCCTTGCTTAGTAGCATGGAAAACTTGATTTTGGTTCGAAACATAATCTCGCTGCGTGACAAATTTTTTCCACGAATGATGCTTGAACAGAGGATCTGTTCCTTGACTTTCTCTACCAGTTTCTTAATTTTAATATTTATGTTGAAATATGTTTTTCATAAAGGCTCTTTTGAAAATTTTCTATATAATTTTTTAAAACCAGTCAAATCTCTGAGAAACTTTCTCTTGAGAAACCTGCTACTCTAGAAAAGAATACATTTGGTTAGTAAAAATTGAATTTAGAAATGCCGTGTTGTTTGAACCCAATTCTTCTGGAAGAGAGTCAAAACGTTTAATCATTCTTTTCTTACAAAAAACTGAGACGCCGTGTTCCTGATCGGTACCCATTGAGAAAAAGTAGAAAATATGTTATGTTTAACAAAGACAAAATAGCGTTATTCGACAATCGATTAATCTTCCATTTACTGGTGAAAAGAACCATTAATTTAACCCTGATTAAGGGCTGTGGGACATCAATAGTCGTTTTATCATTTGATGAAAGATTTTGAATTGTTCAGCAGCTGGAACGCTGCGCATTCCTGTGGTCTATCTACTAGCACTTGAGCAGATACGATGGCAGCATGACGTTCGCTGACTTTCTGCATATTTTCGACTCTGCTCTGCATGTACGTCAGAAATTCAATGGTTTTTCTAGCTAGAGAAAAAATGATCGACCATTCGCAATTCTAAGACTCACTTCTTGCTTACTACTGATGCAAGCCGTGGTGGACGAATTCCTATAGTAAAGCCAACATTTTTAAAGGTGTTTTATTTATATGAAGTTGCAAATGATTTTGTTTATGCTATTTGTTGTCTTCGATTATTCGAGGAGGTAGAAGCTTGTTATTTCTTTCGAGATACCTGACTAAATGCCGTTTAAAGTTGAATACTCCTGTGACGTGAGGCATAGTTCTGGAAAATCGCCTGGGCATCAGGTGCTAAACGGAAAACAAATCATTGAACTGAAATCAAGTACGAACCAAAGAAATCAAGCGTACTTTCCAAATTTAGATGCATACGTCCTACGCAAACATCCTTGAACAGGTTAACAAGTTTTTGCAAAACTCATTGCAACAACACGTACTTTCATAAGACAAAACCAAATACAACACATGGCCAAAAATTTAAGTTCAGTCACTTAGTTTAGGCTTTGGTGGTTTCTTCACGGGACCATAACTTAAAAATAAAAAACATTACTGAAAATCAAAACCTAAAAACGTATATAAAACGATAAAACCCTACAGACCTTAACGTTATAAGTCATCCTGGAAGTCGTTACGGCTATGTACAAATGTTCAGAGCTTTCTTTGAGCTAACGTAATGTCGGAATGACAGCGACACGAAACTGCTGGAATTAAAACTAAGGATTAATTTATTTATTTCATGTAATTTTCATGTATCCTCATGCCTTTTATCGTGACAACACCACTCAAGGGGTGAGGTTAGCGATATGTTTCGTTTCTCAAAATCGAACAGTCAATAAGAGTGATGGTCGATCAAATGAAGAACAGAGAAATTGTCGACAATCCTGAAGAGCCAGCAGGTGATTATGATTATGGTAAATATTATCACCGTTCATACAACTGATGACATCAGTCTAAAAAAGGAGAGCCGGTTGAAATTTAAGGTAGGGCTTTAAAAGTGAAAATGAAATTTTCGAGCGGCAGCTTCTTTGGCTGCCCTTGAGGGAAAGAGATGAGTTTTTCTAAGACTAAATTTATTGCGTCTTTCACTAGGTCACCGTCATTCTTGTTTGTCTTCTAAAGTTTCCAGGCAAAGCCCTACTGAACTAAATCCATCTGGTTTTTTTACAGAAACTGGCGGAAGTCGAAATCCCATGAAAACTCGAAATGGCGTAATCATTCCCATGCTCAAACATGGGAATCGTTTTGATTTCGACAACTACCGCGGGATAGTGCTTCTGTTTGTGCTACAAGATGTATTTGCGCAAATCCTTCTACAGAGATTGAAGAAGCAGTTG